GTTGGGATTACAGGCGTGAGCCACTGTGCCTGGCCAACAAGTTTGTTTTAATGACTGAACTGTAAACCCTTGAGCGAGGAAGGGTGATTTTGCTTCTCTCCTCGACAAGGCTGTCACATGATCAGTGCTCAATAAAGACTTGAATAATTGAATAAATGAATTATGGATTTGAATTAGTGAATATAAAAGTACTTAAAACTTTCTACTTTTGTTTTCCTGCAGGAGCCAGGTGAGAATTTCGAGGATTATCGACTTCCTATTTAAAGTTACAAATTAAAGTGGCTTGGTCAAGAATGAGAATGGAGTTATGGATCTTTCTTTTTGGGGAGGTGGGGTGGTGGGAGTGGGGCGGGGGACAAGTCTCACTCTGTCACGCTGGAGTTCAGTGGTGCGATCTCGGCTCACTGCAGCCTCCACCTCCTGGGTTCACTCCATTCTCCTGCTTCAGCCTCCTGAGCAGTTGGGACTACAGGTGCCCGCCACCACGCCCGGCTAATTTTTGTGTTTTTTTTTTTTGAGACAGAGTCTTGCTCTGTCGCCCAGGCTGGAGTGCAGTGGTGCGATCTCGGCTCACTGCAAGCTCCGCCTCCTGGGTTCACTCCATTCTCCTGCTTCAGCCTCCTGAGCAGTTGGGACTACAGGTGCCCGCCACCACGCCCGGCTAATTTTTGTGTTTTTTTTTTTTTGAGACAGAGTCTTGCTCTGTCGCCCAGGCTGGAGTGCAGTGGTGCGATCTCGGCTCACTGCAGCCTCCACCTCCTGGGTTCACGCCATTCTCCTGCTTCAGCCTCCTGAGTAGCTGGGACTACAGGCACCCGCCACTACGCCTGGCTAATTTTTGTGGTTTTTTTTTGTTTTTGTGTTTTTGAGACAGAGTCTAGCTCTGTGGCCCAGGCTGGAGTGCAGTGGTGCGATCTCAGCTCACTGCAGCCTCCACCTCCTGGGTTCACTCCATTCTCCTGCCTCAGCCTCCTGAGTAGCTGGGACTACAGGCGCCCGCCACCACGCCCGGCTAATTTTTTGGTATTTTTAGTAGAGATGGGGTTTCACCGAGTTAGCCAGGCTGGTCTTGAACTCCTGAGCTGAAGTGATCTGCCCGCCTCGGCCTCCCAAAATGCTGAGACTACAGGCGTGAGCCACCGCGCCCGGCCTAATTTTTGTATTTTTAGTAGAGATGGGGTTTCACCATACTGGTCAGGCTGGTGTCAAACTCCTGACCTCAGGTGATTGACCTGCCTCGGCCTCCCAAAGTGCCGGGATTACAAGTGTGAGCCACCTCGCCTGGCCTGGATCTTTCTGATAATGGCAACTACCCGTTATGGATTATTATTTTTTCCACCTCCTGCGCTAAGTGGTTTAGTGCCTTTCAGCTGATCCTCTTGGGCACCCCATTGACATAGATAGGCATTAGCTCCATTTCTCAATAAAGACTGCAAGGCTCAGAGATGAAGTTACTTGCTTAGTATCACACGCTGGTAGGCAGCAAGGTGAGGACTCCAGAGCTCACCCTTATCTGCAGCGCTGTGCCGCTGCCGCCTCAGCTGGTGTCTTCGCTGTGTGTCAGCAGTTCCTGTGAAAACTCTTGTCCTTTGTCCGTTGCAGTGGATTCTTGCTCTGAGTGGACAGAGGTTAGAGGTCAATGCAGTCGATTTATGAAGTGGCTCCTGTGGACTGGGCAGTTGTGTTGAGGGGCCATTGCGCAATTCTTAAGGCATACTTCTAACTAGGGAGTATTTAGGGCCAGAGGAACGGGAGACAAGGGTGAAGCAGGAGTTTTTACTTTTTCTAAAATTTGTTGCAAAGCACTTTCCGACTCTCTGAGACTGGACAGAATTCTCCTCTACCCACAGATCTAAATCTGTATCTATATATCTATTTTGTAGAGACAGGGTCTGTCTCGGTCGCCCCAGCTGGAGTGGAGTGGTGCGATCCTAGCTCACTGCAGCCTCAGACCTCTGGGCCCAAGTGATCTGCCTCAGCTTCCCCAGTAGCTGGGACTACAAGTGTGTGCCACCACACGTGGCTAATGTGTGTGTGTGTTGACAGAGAGTCTATGTTGCTTGAACTCGAGGCCTCAAGTGATCTTCCTGCCTTGGCTTCCCAAAGTGCTGAGATTACAGGTGTGAGCCACCATGCGTGGACTCCCTTTTTTACAGTTGAGGTTTTTGACTACCCAGGCATTGAGAATCTGGCACTAAAGAAGAAAAGGTTCTGTTCTCAGAGAAGTTAAGATTTTAGAAAGGGTAGATGGATAGTCACTAACCAAGTGAGATTTACTAAGTGCTGTGGAGGAAATGGCACTGGGTGAGGTGCTAGAGATGGGTGAAGAAGGCAACTTGAACTTCTGACTGGTCAGGGAAGGCGTTTGAGCTGAAAATGGAACAAGTAGGAGTCGTCAGTTGTACGAGGGTGAAGAGTGTTCTGGGAGTAAGGAACAGCGGGAATCACGGTCTCTCGTGGGACCACAGTCACTCCTGTGTTTAAGGAACAAAGTCCAGGGCACCTCCAGCTGGTGAGGGGATGGGACGAGCTCTCGTGAGCAGATCGGGGTCACAGGTTTAGATTTTGGGTTGAATGCAGCAAGCAGCCTCCGGCAGGCTTTTGAAGCTGGGGTGTGGTATGATGCGCTTTCCTAGTAGCTGGGTTTCCAGTCCCACCTTGGTTCTCTTTGGATGTCACAGAGCAGGCACAGTGGCAGGAAAAGCTGAAGCAAGTGGAACAGTTGCACCCTCCCCTGCTGACAGCTTCAGCAGTCTGTCCCTGTTGCAAGGGGTGCTGGGGACACTTCCCCGGTTTTGTGTTTACTCACCTGTGTGTGAGCTGCCAGAGCTGAGGAAGCCATGTTTAAGGTCTTTACTTTGAAAACAATCCGATCTCTTTGTACTTTTTAGGTTTCATTTTTTCTTGTCTTCCACTCCTCCCCACCCCACCCCTCATGACGTGCTCACTCCCCAATATCAATAAAGTTTTTTTTGGAAAGAATATAATCTACAACAGTGAACTCAAGTAGGATAATCTCATTAGCCCCATTCCTTAGAAATCAGTTGCTTGGCTTAAAAAGATAACTCTAAAAAGAGCATTCTTCTGTTTAAAGAATAAGGAGGCCATATTGGAATCTTCTTTTCCACATGTGGGCCATGCATGGAATTGTTCCAAGCCGCCTCAAAGGAACGGACCTCCACCTGCTGTATAGCATATGGGAAGATACGTGGGAGGAGTCCCAGAAGGATTTTAAGTACATTTGATTGATGGCAATATACAGTTACAGGAAATAATAGTGAAAATTTACTATGGGTCAGGCACTGTTGTTAGCACTTAAGTTTATCAAATCCTCATGTTACTATTTCCACTTTATAGGTGAAGACGTTGAGCTATAGATGGGTTAGGTGCTTTGCCAAGCTCATACCTGAGATTCAGATCCTGCCGTCTTGTTCTAGGCGGAGTCAGATGATCTGAGTCAACACAGCATGGGATCAGCCTTTTTGATCACAGTTTAAGAATTAATTTCATGTTACCTAGCGTATAAATAGGCTTGTGTACACACATATTAACCCAAAAGTTCACAAAACAGTATGTATCTGTTAGGCACACTATTTTCATTTTATTCTACATACTAAAGGAAGAATGGCCAGTTGAGACCTCCTAACTGATTTTACAGCCTACTGCGTTGTCTCAATCTGACATTTGAAAAGCTGGCGTAATTTACGCTTCCAGAACTCAGGCTGTTGGAGTCCGACTTGCTGGATCTGACTAGGAGCTCTACCATTTTCTTGCTGTGAGTTTGGGCAAATTAACTTTGATCTGTACCTTAATGTCCTAATTTGTAGAATGGATTAAAAAGGTTAAATGAGTTAAGTAAAGCTCTTAGAACTAGGCCTGGCCTGAATGAAATACCCTCTACATGGAATCAGCTGTTATTTCTAGACCATTGGACCTAAGCTAAGTGTAGTGACCCTGGAATCCCAGTTTGATTTTTATAGAAAAACTTCCAGATAGGCCAGATTGTAAACATACTCCAACAGAGGCAGTGCCACCACTCCCCTCTGTCAAAAATTTGCCGAAGCAAAACAAACACATTTACGGTATCTGTTCCTCTTCCTGATGGGCAGCTACGAGTACATTCAAAGTAAGTTTTAGGGTATGGCCTAAAATGGCAACGGAGGTCAAGTGTTAAATTTAGCACTCACCTTTGTAACTTTGTTAGTTTCCTAGGGAAGCTTTAATGTAAAGGACCACAATTAGCTGTCTAATAACGCCTGAGACGAGAGGTGTTACAGAAGGAACAGCTGTTACATGCATGTTACAGGAAGATACACAAGTCATCTTGGTTCCAATTGCCCCTAGAACTATTTTATAGAAGAGGTTGACCCTGTCACCTGCTGCAACCATTTCACCAGGAGCAATGGCAGGACACCACCGTGCAGTGTCAGGGAAATGGGTGCTCCCTGAGGTGGTGTGTGGACCTGCCTCAGCAGGTGCCTTTGGTTTACACTAGCAGTGTCTTCCCAGATTGGTGATGACAACAGTAGGGACAAGTGGAGCATGCCTAACACAACATCCATTTCTGGCTACGAACTCACTGTCATGGAGTCAACACTCATTTCTATCCAAATCTCGTTACAGCCATTGTAACGAGATGGCTTATAACGAGATATAATATACAAAATTGTATCTATGTAATATATACCTACATAAAATGCATGCTACAGATCTCGGGTCCTGGCTACATAAGCCTAGCAGAGTCTTATCGTTCAGTGCTGCATATTCAGCAACTGATATGAGAGGAGTTGGACCAGTTTTTTTTTTTTCCCTCTGAGACAGGATCTTGCTCTGCCGCCCAGGCTGGCGTGCAGTGGCGCTATCACAACTCACTGCAGCCTTGACCTCCCAGGCTCAGTCTTCTCCCACCTCAGCTGGGATCACAGGTGCGTGCCACCATGCCCAGCTAATTAAAATTTTTTTTTGGCCAGGCTGGTCTGGAACTCCTGGCCTCAAGTGATCCTCCCACTTTAGCCTCCCAAAGTGCTGGGATTGTAGGTGTGAGCCACTGAACCCAACTCAGTGTTCTTTAAGAACACTTTTTGCCCTAACATTTTGAGTGTAAGAGAACTATAAAACTCTTTTAAAAGACAGTAGGTCCGATCGTCACAGCCCCTGATAAAACAAAATTTCAGAAGAGCTAGTGTAGTAGAGTTCTTTAAAATAGAACTTTTTAATAACCAAAGTGTCCATAGTTCTGGGCTAAATTTTAAGGAAAACCTCATATATATGGTATAATATGTTCTTAAAGCCACAACTACTCTGTTGTAATCATGCATGAAGGTTTAGAAAATGAATTTCTACGATGTTTATGTTATAGAATTAGTTTTCAGATGAGAAAACTGCAGTTCATAGGAAATTAAGTCTTGACATTTATTTTTGTTTTTAGCGTGGGCATCTTGCTATATTGCCCTGGCTTGCCTCAAACTCCCGGGCTCAAGCAATCCTCCTGCCTTAACCTTTTAAGTCTTGATAGCATTTTATTGTTTGGGAGGAGGGGTGAAACCAGATTTCTCAGGCACAAACCCACTTGAGGCTTTTCTGTTCCTTCATATTATTCTCAGACATAAGGATTGCAGGTGAAGTGGTTTTTTTCTCTTTTTTTTTTTTTTTGAGATGGAGTCTTGCTCTGTTGCCCAGGCTGGAGTGCAATGGCGTGATCTCGGCTCACTGCAACCTCCAGCTCCCAGGTTCAAGCGATTCTCCTGCCTCAGCCTCCCGAGTAGCTGGGATTACAGGCATGCGCCACCATGCCCAGATAATTCTGTATTTTAGTAGAGACGGAGTTTCTCCATGTTAGTCAGGCTAGTCTCGAACTCCTGACCTCAGGTTATCCACCCGCCTCAGCCTCCCAAAGTGCTGGGATTACAGGCATGAGCCACCGTGCCTGGTCTAATTTTCATATTTATTTATTTATTTTTTTTGAGACGGAGTCTCGCTTGATCGCCCAGGCTGGAGTGCAGTGGCCGGATCGCAGCTCACTGCAAGCTCCGCCTCCTGGGTTTACACCATTCTCCTGCCTCAGCCTCCCGAGTAGCTGGGACTACAGGCGCCCGCCACCTCACCCCGCTAGTTTTTTGTATTTTTTTTTACTAGAGACAGCATTTCACCATGTTGGTCAGGCTAGTCTTGACTCCTGACCTCAGGTGATCCACCCCTCTCGGCCTCCCAAATTGCTGGGATTACAGGTGTGAGCCACCCTGCCTGGCCACAGGTGAGTTTTAAAACTGTTTACTTCTTTTCTGGAAACTTTGCCCAGTAATTTGATATATTTTGTCTGAAGATACTCTAGGTGTTTTTCAGACTTCAGTGAATTTTATTTGGGGGAGGGTCATGAAATCAAATGCACAAAATCAACTCACTGAGGTAACCAGCATTAAAAAAATGAAGTAGAAAACGTGAGTGCATAGTTTCAAGTAAATGTTAGCGTGCATGTGCTGTGTTGCTATGGAAAATGTAAGCTGTGTCAAAAGTTTGAAAAAATACAATTCTAAGGTGAGTTTCTGCAGATAAACTTTAAACATTACTAAAGTAGAGCACATACTCCAACTGAATCACACGGAGGAGAGCAGTCATTCGAACTAAAGATACATCAGGTTACAACATCTGAAACATTGAAGGGTCATCACCAACACCTGACAAGACTGTTGCCACTACAAGTTGTATAGCATCTATAAAGTACCATGCATGAATCCTGACAACTTACTTTAACTTCTACCCACTAAACAGTAACCAACATTATGTATGAAACAAAACGTACATTTCTCCGTCTCTCCATTGTCTAGAAAAACTGTTAAAACTGCTGACTACTTTTGTTACTGAATGTAATCGTGTTAGAAAAATAGTCTTGATGAAGACTTCTCCATGCAGTCAATCTTTATTATAGCAGGATTCGCATATTCACATCAAGTACATAGAACTTTTTTTGCCTTTTATATAATACAGAGTTGTTAAATAACTTTACACAGAAATAAATTTCTTCAATCTGAATTTCAGCTATCTTTTATTCTCCATGCTTTCTATCCAAACTGAACAATATTTTCTGTTATACAAATTTACATGAGAAAAACTCCGAAGTACAAATGAAGGGACCTGAGCAGGAAAGAGAACCAAAGGATCAGGAAGTGGGTATGGGGAGAATTAAAAAATACTAAAAGATTCCAGCGAACATTGAGAATAGGGGAAAAGAGGGAGACATCAACCATTTGACTGAAAATAAATGTCTTTTTTTTTATGAATTGAAAAATAAGCTTTAAAAATAGTTACTCCATTGTAATTTTTGCAAAGCAGGTATAGAGAGGTCTGTGGACAATTAAAAAGTCCCCATTTTTTCACTGGGCACGCCCCAGACTCCATGAGAACCTTTTCACTGCTTGAGTGGAACTGAAGTGTACTAAACCCGAACCTTCGGCAGCAACAGAAAAGAGGAATGTGTGTGTGAGTTGCCATAAGGTTTGGAGTGGTGAAACAGGAACCGTGAATTCACTGCAGTTCAAACAGGAAGCATCTCCCTTTCCTCTCCCTTACAGGAGACACGTCCTCAAACCAAGGAATACATGAAAAGGGGGGATTTCCTTTTTCTTGGTCTAAACCAAAGAGCAATCACTACTGAATAAAATTCAGAGAGACACATGTTGATGAATGATCAAATTCAATCCCCTTATCAGCTGTATGATCCTATCTTAGGAAAAGCAGCAATTGCCGTGTTGAGGAAAGGATCAGATGTACAACCAACAAATGAGATTACCACAAATATATATCACTGTGATACAGTCCTCAAAAATCAGGCGATACCATGAAGGCCAAACTGAGTCTATACTATGTGGCATGGCCAAAGGAAACACGGAGGACCCATGGATGTACTTTAAAACGAAGGCGGAAGAAGGGGACAGCACAGACACACACACCCCTATATGTAAACTAACATAACATGAAGATAAATAAGACATAAAGGCTAGCCACTTATGTTGGTCATTAACATGAATAAAAAGGCATTATATGTTGATATAGCTGGTTTTAATCAGCTATGGAACATACACAAATGTATTAGGAAGGAATGATTCTTAACCGTTCACAGCTTAGAATAAAAAGCATACTTATTGCACTCTTACATTTGATTTCAGGTAATTACAGTTTATTTCCCACCCTCACATTAATTTTTCCCTATCCTAGATTTACTGCCACCTCACTCCATTTTGGTCTCTGTTCTCTACATCTGTGCCTACTCTGTGAGCTTTGTTGTTTACTTCCAACTCATACTCCACTAAAACACACGTGGGTTCAAAAACTTAACACAAAAATGCAACGCAGTAATTTTCAAAACAAAACCAGGACTAAACAACTTCATCAAAACCCCCAATCCCACCCCTGTAAACAGACCCTTCCTTTGTGGCATCTCTTCATAAATTTTCTGCCAACCCTCCCGCATCTGTGCTGTACGTGAGAACCAGCGGTCATGATGCTGGAGAATGAACTCGGCCGGCCGGGAGAAGCAGACGGTTTGTACAAAACATTTTTTGATACTAACATGAATAAACATATTTTAGTTGTTTTCAGAGCACTTCCATCTACAGAATTTTTAAAAAAATGCACTTCTAAAAAATGGATACACTGGCTTACATTGGCTGTGTCCTCATACACAACTGGTCAAGTCACTGTAATTATTCAAAACAGCTACATAAACGTCAACATTTTAATAAAGCTGATTTAGTAATTCATAAAACCTAACAGTTGAAGTTGTGGATGTTAAATAAAAGTACTTTAATCACTCATTGAGTTGGGGACTAATTGCCCCATGCATTTTTTTTTTTTTAAAGCACTGTTACCTTAATTTAAGATTTTAGGTGTTGGGTTTCTGTCCTTTTCTACCTTAAAAATACCTGATAGGAACTGTTAATTACCCTTTCCACAATTAACAAAAATTAGAATTGAATTTCAATTTAAATGTCTTTGCCTAAACGAAAGTGAAAATAGGTTATTTGAAAACAACAAAACAGAGCTTACTGTCTAGTGTACTAATAAAACAAACATCTTACCAATATTTTTAATTTTACCAGAGCTAGCAACAATGACCACAGATACACTGGTGACTTCGCTCTCCTCTGGCCAAGCCACAAATCATTGCCTGGGGCAGACATGCTACAACCCTCCTCTGGGGTTCATCTACCAATGGGCATCAGTAATCCATCCCAGTACAACATTTCAGGGATGCGCTGGAGACAATACATGGACTTCCTCTTTCAATGGTGAGGAATGAAACAAGATACAAGAACCACACCATGGAATATGTTTTCTTTTACATCCAACGGCCAAGTCATAAAGGACGCCTCGAGACTTCCACCCTGGCCCCGACAGCACTTTGGGACAGGATGACTAACGCAGTCCAGCTTCATGTGCAAGCAAGTCCTGGGAAGAAATTTACATTTCAAACTCTGAAAAATCAGTGTCTAGGTTGGCAGCAGTACTCTGGAAACTGATAAAACCAAATTCGGTCCTGTATTTCAATTTCCCCTTCTAAGTTAATACACGATTGCTGCCCATCATACAGTACTTCAACCCTAAACTACAGCAATTTCTTGAAATTTCTGTCAACATTTCTGTTGTATAAAAGTTCCATGCTTTGAAGAGCCTATGGGAGTAGAAAAAGTTTCTCTAGAAATGTCACTGAACTATATTTTCAACCTAGTTGCTCTATGTGATAAATACATCTGACTATACTAGGGATTATGTGCTTTAAAAAAATAATTTTGTTCACTGAAAATTTACCTGTGTGTTTTCTCATTGTTAAATGTGATTTTGGCTATAAACTCTTTAGTGCATTTACCTGTGCAGTCTAAATTGCACTCTAAAAATTATTAACACAGCTGAGTTAAACCAGAGTGGCTGCTCTCTTCACAAATCACTGATTTCTGCTAAAATTTTAGCTTTTTTATTGCATCATGAAGGCACAGTAAGATCATTTGGCAAATTGTCAAGGTATTTTTCTAGAGCCTCACCTATACCATTTCAACACATGACCTGTAAGCTATTTGCTCTTCATACTCACAGTAAACCTGCCATCTCTGGCTGCGGTGTTTATAGCCTAATGGTTGGAATCAGCTAGTCTCAAGGCGCTGGTATTCTAGCACTAACAATGCCAACTTGGACAAAGAAGAGAATCTTGCAAAGAGAGTAGCGTTCTACCCTCTCAGCTGGGCAGTCTCTCTGAATGCCTGTGCATGTGACAAAGCTGCAGCAAGCTCATTATGAGGACGTACTGTCTTGCCAAGCCTACTGAAAATTAAAATTACATCACTGTTAGTGAAGTGATACCACAGCTATTTAATTTCATGCAACTGACTCAAGGTTAAGATTCTGAAACGTACCCCTAAACTGGTTCTGGCACCACTTTCAACAACATTCAGATATTCTGAGCAACACATTTTTTTTTACAGTATTACTGCTTAAATGTATAATGCCCTTTGGGACAAAATGAGAATGCTCAAATACAAGTACACAAAAAAGTTAAAATCTTAAATCATCGTCATGTTCTACAGCTCCTGACTTTTCATATTTTAAAATAAATAACTATTCATTACCTCATTCTGAGGAGGTAGTTTTTGAAGAGGTCACCTGAACCCTGCAATGTGGTTTCAAACTAAAGCTAGAGATGAGGTTTGCAAGCGGCTGGCAGGTGGATGTACAGTGGGGACAGGTGAGATCTGAGAAGGGTGTGCGGCAGCTCGCACTCTGCCTGATGAATACAAGGTAACATCCTGTGATGAAAGTGCTGTCACTGCACCAAACCAGAAGCTAGGAAATATTTACAAAGTTTCAGGTTGACAGTGCTGCAGTCTTGAATTATTTCTTTTTATACTGCTCTTTCTTCTCCAACACCAACATAAATATAGCACATATCATTTGTATGGGATTTTATCTTCTAGAATGCCCCAGTATGCCCTACTAGATCTCAAATACAGTCAGGGGTGGGATATTCAGGAACCAGAATGTGACAGCTAGACACAATCTTCTTTTAAGGTGCACATTAACAACAAACAATCACATTGAATTTTCTATTCACAAATCCCTTTTATAAACTACTTTTTTTGGTCAATATTATTTCAGTGGCAAAAGTCTAGGTCCTAGACTCTAGCGATGAAAATCCATCAGGAATACTACACAGTTACAAACAGTCCTCTATAGTTGCTCTCAAATTTTTCAGAAGGCTTTACCTCTCCCTACCAAAAATAAAACACACTACAGAAGGCACTGCAGCCACTTTACAGACCAGACTGTTACACCCTTAGAAGATGATCAGTGATGCAGCCACATACTGTCTATACAATTACTCATAAAGTGCTTTTCACAAATAAGGACTTCTTCCTCATTTTTAGGAGCTCAGTAAGTCTATCTGTTGTCTAGGCATCAAAAAATAAAGCAGATAAAACACAAATAAAACCTATTTTCATGTCATTTGTAAACTAGAGACAAAACCTATTTTGTAGAAAAAGGAAGAAAAGAGAGGTTTAAATATTTTATTTTTAAAGGTCTCTATAAAAATCTCAATATACTGAGCCTGGCTCCTGGGCACAGCTTCATTTGAGATCAAGTCTGCTCCCGTGTTCAAATGAGATACCAGCCTATTCTAAAATGCAAGGGAAGAAAAAGTGTATCACCCTGAATGTTGTTTAGGAAACTGAAATGCTAAGCTTCCTCCCTAATGGTACTGCCCCTGTCCCGCGGAGGCAGTCCTGGATCCAGGCTGCACACGTTCTGCCTCCTTGGCAGGACATGAAACACATCCTCTTGTTCAAGCCCAGGTCTCTCTACTTGCAGAAACTTGAAGCCAATCTTGGTAAAGGGAACACAGCCACATTTAAAAGCATCTAGAGATATATTTAAAAAGAAAAAAATAGCTAATGCTTTTCAAGAGAGGCAATTATGCACAGATGTTCTTCAAATCAGCGTGAATTATTTTCACCTTTGCAATTTCTGAATTTTTTAAGACACTGCCCTGTTGATGTAAAACTTAAAAACAATTTGCTTTTCAAACTGATGAATAACTTAAGGATCTTTTCCATTTTACTAGGACAATCTTTTACAAGACAATGAACATTTCAATAGGTTTTCTTCTGAATACATGTATGTTAGCAAAAATCTAATGGTAGTGAGCTTTTAGTAGGCTGAAATACAGAGAGCAGGGACTGGAGTTACAATCTGAAAATTTTAAGTAACAATTTCTAATTCCTTGATTTATTCTGGGTCTTGTTTAATTTCTTTCAAGTCCTTGGCTATAGCTTGGCTGGTCTATCTGATTTGATTTACGTTCCTAAATTCTGAGTCTAGATTCCTGATAAGGGAAGTTTTCCATTAATTTGCCATTAATACATCGCTTTGCTATGACTGTGATTGATATTACCCTTTAATAAAGGCCAATGGAAGCTATAACTAGGTTATATTTTCCCTTTGTGCAAAGATAAAGATTTAGGTTCTTAACGAATGCCAGCTCTTTCTATAAAAACAACCGATGACAGGTTTTCCACACTCTCCCTCAGTCCTAATATCCCTAAAATTGCTCTATTCTCTGTCTGGGAATTCAGCTGCCAAACTGCTCAACCTTTTGAAGACCAGGCTTGGGAAAAAAGGAAGGAGGAGAATGAATGGAGACGCCACCATTTTTATTTTGTTGCATATTCTAGATAAAAGACTAGAAAGAAGATGTGGGATGTAGTGTTAGGAATCAGTTGGAAGAAACAATGAGATTATTAGCAAAGATGTTAGTGTGGATCCAGCAAGTACCATTAATTGAAAAATTATAAATATTTGTCATTATGCTAAGATTCCTTATATTTAGGTAGAGAAAAGGATAATGATCTTTCTTAAAAGTTGTTTATATAACAAAAATACAATTTTCAGGATATATAATTCTGGTGGGAAGTATTTTTTTTCCAATTCAATTAAATCTGAAAATTATTTTCTTTTTAATAAAAATATAAAAGAAACTCAGAAATTAAAACCTGTACCTTATATTTAAATTATCTAAATTTCTCACATTCAAAACTGTTATTAAGCAGTTTTGTGGGGTTTCAGTTAGATACTGCCATGGCATTTTGTGCCCTGGACAAAGTAGCCGCATAAGTAGTTGGTGACTGGAAGAGCATAGGAGGAAGATATAAATGGTATTTCCTGAGAATTTGCTACATTGTGGAGGAAAAAAAAAATCCCCAAACACTTATCTTCATTGCTGGACCCAATGAGAAAGAAGGCAATGTGTGCCAGCACTATCTAGCCTGCTTGGTTAGGCAGACACCTCAGTGAGCAAGGAAACAAAAGGCCAGAGACCCCGGAGGTCAGGAAGAAGATGCAGCATGCCCTTTTCCTCCATACCAAGACGCATCGACTCCTCACTGCTCAGCCTCCATTTAAATAAAGTAGTTTCCTTTCGATAAAATTTGTCAAGGCCTGAACACACACCACACAGAAAGGGCAAGCTGCATTTTTGTTCCATCCCTCAGAAATTAACTGGTGGTCACTAGGAGAAAGAACTCCACAACAAAATTCCAGAACAGGAAAGAGAACGATGCTTGGTGATTGAAACTGCCCCATCAGATGATCAGCCACAAATTGATCTGGTGGTTAGAAGGGCAAAGTTGACTGGCAGACTTTCCATAGCAAATCTCCCAAGCTGTAGCAGCAGTTTCTTTCCATCATGCCTGACCATCAAAAGGTCAGAATTCAGGGTCTCTCCTCTTTCTTCCCGGGACTGGGCAGACTTGTATGCGCGTGGTATTTTTGTTGAAGAAACATTGGCAGCAGAGAATTCTGGTTCCTAAAACATTCTTTCCTCTTTTGTTGGATGGGAAATTCCATTCTGTTCCACATCAGCTTATGCATTGGAAATTTTGTATCTTTAAAAAAAGATTTGAGGAACAGAACTGTGTTTTGATGTTAATAAATTGTACGAACACAAGACTTAAGAAATAAGAGCAGATGCTGCCATGATGGTGGCTACTTGAAGGCTGCAAATTCTCCTGTAGAGGGAGGACAAGAGCTAATTTTAAAAAAGTCATCTCAAATAACCTAGAGACACAGAAAAAGCCTCATTTGAGCTTCATTGAAAAGTGACTAGTTATATATTTCAAGTCTAGCAACAGCATTGCCAATTTAAAAGCTAAAATGGCTGAAACCCATGGAAGAACACAACATATATAGTATGAAGAACATGGTTCAGCTGTATCAATTAAACAGCAAGTCTGCAGAGAGTTTCCCAGTTGGGTTTTATGTATCATGGTTCTGATCAAGCTGAAAGCAGTTCCAATGAACAAAATTTCTCAGAAACTGAATGTAAAGTAGTAATGTTAATTTGTAGAATACTTCCACCCCTGAATTATCAACTCATTTTCACCTATCATATTATTATAATACCACTATTAGGAAAAGAGAGGCAGTAGTTATCCTCATTTTGCGAAAGATACAATTAAGAGGTCAAATGATTTGTTCACATCAAACGTTTGACAGAGAGAGAAAATCCAGACCTCCCATTTTCTATTTAATTTCACCTTCAAACTAACAAAAAATTAAATATAGGCACATGTCACCGAACATAATTATCAGCATAAGGGATTCTTTAAACCACAAAGTACCCTTGTGATATCATGCTCCTATAGCTTAATGAATTTGGGGGCTTCATGCCATTATTTTTCTCTTTTCTTTTTTTTTTTTTTTTTTTGAGATGGAGTTTTGCTTTTGTTGCCCAGGCTGGAGTGCAATGGTGCGATCTCGGCTCACTGCAACCTTTGCCTCCTGGGTTCAAGTGATTCTCCTGCCTCAGCCTCCCAAGTAGCTGGGATTATAGGCACCCGCCACCAGGCCTGGCTAATTTTTGTATTTTTAGTAGAGATGGGGTTTCACCATGTTGGCCAGGCTGGGTATCAAACTCCTGACTGGGTCTCAAACTCCAGGTAATCTGCCTGCCTTGGCCTCCCTAAGTGTTGGGATTACAGGTGTGAGTTACTGCACCCGGCCGCCATTATTTTTCATCGACCATTTTGTCCACAGTTTCTACTTGTAACTAAAGGCCAGTTCCTGTTATACATACTATAGATAATTTCTGGGGATGAGTTAATAACTGACAATTATCAAAATTCAGTCAGCCATACCACTATTTTTCTTGTCTTTTTTTTTTTTTTAGACGGAGTCTCACTCTATCTCCCAGGCTGGAGTGCAGTGGTGTGATCTCGGCTCACTGCAAGCTCCGCCTCCCGGGTTCACGCCATTCTCCTGCCTCAGCTTCCCCAGCAGCTGGGACTACAGGTGCCCGCCACCACGCCCGGCTAATTTTTTTGTATTTTTAGTAGAGACGGGGTTTCACCGTGTTAGCCAGGATGGTCTCGATCTCCCGACCTCGTGATCCGCCCGCCTCGGCCTCCCACAGTGCTGGGATTACAAGTGTGAGCCAGCGCGCCTGGCCAGCCATACCACTATTTTTCAATAGCAGCTTCTGGTGAGGATCCAAGCAATCACTTATATGAATATACCGTTTAAGTAATCCAGGAATAACCTGTCTAATTTCTGATTGCTATCAGATTCCAACTGGTT